CCAGCCTGGCTCCAGAGCAGAGGAGCTCCAGCCCTTGGAGCATCTCCATGGCCTCCTCTGGATTCTCTCCAGCAGCTCCAGGTCCTGCTGGTGTTGGGGTCCCAGAGCTGGAGGCAGCACTGCAGGTGGGGTCTCACCTGAGTGGGGCAGAGGGGCAGAACCCCCTCACACCTGCTTCCCACGCTGTGGGATGAGTTCAGGACACGGTTGGATTTCTGGGCTGCAAACACACATTTCCAGGTCGTGTTGAGCTTCTCATCCACCAACACCCCCCAACTCCTTCTCCCCAGGGCTGGTCTCCCTCCACTCCCTGCCCAGCCTGCATTTGTGCCCATCCCCGTGGTCTCTCCTGGCTCACCTGCACACCCGGGGTGGCCTGGGGGCGGATGGGCTGAGGTTGGACGTAACACGGCCTGCCTGGATAAAACAAATCATCGGCTGAATAACTACCAGGCAATTACTGCCATTAGCAGTGCTGACCTTCTCCAGCTCCCTGGGCACTCCTGGGGGGTGGAGGGCACCTGGCCCCTCCCGGGGTTGGCTCACCCGTGACGTGGGGTGGTGGTGAGGATGCGCTTCCTCACGTCCCTGCGCCCTCCGTCACGGGCAGCGCACGAGCCAGAGCAGCAGCACCCAACCCCTAATGAGCAGGTTGGCTTCAAAGGCTCCCTTCTTCTTCGGAAAGACACGTTCCCAAACCCCAGAGCTGCCTGTGGTGGGAGCAACCCCGGCGCTGTGGAGGAGGCGACACGTGCTCCGCAGTCCCTCGGGGGCGGTTGTCACCGTGGGGGAGGGCTGTGTCCCTCCTGCCGTCCCACCATCCTCAGTCTGGGGTTTTACAGCCTCCTGATCTCAGGTGAAACACCCCCAGGCACACAGGCATCCTTTGAGGGGCTGATTTTCCCCTGAGCCCTGTTACAAAACCCCTCTGCAAAGGGGGATTACACCCCGGATGATCAACCTTTGTCGGGACTATCAAGGGCTGCAGGGAAGGAGGAGCAGAAGAAGGAACTGGCTAAACTCGTTACACTGGTGACATTTGAAGAGGGTGGTTAGTAAGCTGCATGTTAACATTATGTCCAGTCTTTAAGGAATGCATCCAGGATTCATCAGGGGAGCAGTCGTTAGGTGAGTCACGCTGTGGACATGCGGATTTAACTGGGATTTCAAGCCCAAGCGACCTGTAATTGCACATTAGCAGAGGGATGCTTAAAGTAATCAGCTGTTCCAGCCACGCCGGCTACGGGGGGGGAAGGGAGGAGGGCTGGAGGGGTGTCCTGCACCCAGCCCCTCCTTGGATTACAAGGCAAAAATATAGGCCACACAAACAGCCTGGGGGACACGCTGCGCGGTGGTGGCTTTTCCTTTGAAGGCAGGGTGACACTGCTCTTGCTGAACCCTTGATAGTGGCAAGATAAGGAGGGTAAATACACCGTGGTGGTGGAGAGGGCAATGATCAACCGCCCCGGCCAGTCGGCCCCATGCAGGGTTTCATCCTCATCCATCACCAAAGGGAAACCTCCCGGCCGGGAGGGAGAGGTGGGAATGGCTACGGCACTCGGAAAGAACGCTGAGAGCTGTTGGGAGGGGAAATGCGTGTTCTCGCTTGTACGGGAGGGAGAGATAACACATCACACACCGCCCCGGGCACCGCTCCAGCCTCACGCCTGACTCCAGAGCCACCGTCCCACCCAGAGTCCCTCGTCTCCCCTGGGAATGTCGTTATTTCCCCTTGGCATCGCTGATGGGATGTGCAGTGGGTCCGGGCAGGGGGGGTGCAAGGACACCCCGTCCTTGGTTCATGTCACAGCTCGGTTGTGCAACACCTCGAGGCTGCAGGGAGAAGACAATTGACTTCTTTTCCTCCTTCCTTAAGGAAACGCCTCTGTGACGGTTGTCAATCATTCCCCTGAATACCTCGGGATGCCAGCAGAGGATTTTAATCAAATTTGTCAGAGCCATCACGATTCTACAAGCTGAAATGGGTGTCCAGGCTCGGGGATCCACCCAGGTGAGGGAGCAGCAGCAGCACCTCGGCACACAGGGCTCACTCCTTCCAAAAGGAGCAGGGAAGAGCAGGCACAGGGCACACTGGGATTTTAGGGAAAGCTGGAATGCTGTGGAGCAGGCGAGAGGCTCTGCACGAGCTGATCCCTCCTTGTGATGGCTCAGGAGGGAAGGAAACGCCTGAGCTGCACATTCCAGGCTGGATGCAAGAAGTCAGAGGTGGGAGAAGGTGGTTGAGTCAGGGAAATCACGGAGCCAACAGCCAAAAGGTCTGTGGCAACCTGTGTTTGGAGCTGAACAGTGCAAATACTGCATGTACAGAGGAAAAAAAAGCCTTTTAAATGCTCCTCCACCTCTGCACACAAAGGGTTCTTCACCCAGAGGGTGGTTGGGCACTGGAACAGGTTTCCCAGGGAAGTGGTCACAGCACCAAGTCTGCCAGAGGTCAGGAAGTGCTTGGAGACAAGGCTGGGGTTGTCCTTGATGATCCATGTGGTTCCCTTCCAACTCAGGGTATTCCATGTTTCCAACACGAGCCGAAATCCTCTTTGGAGTAGAAAAGCCCAAACCAGAACCTCCAGCAGCAGCACCAGGAGGTGAGATTGGAGGGTTCAGTGACAGAGCATCACACGCTTCTCACCATCCACCTTCACCCACCCAGGGCTCAGGACCAGGCAGGGTGGGCTGTGCCATCCCCCCAGGGCTCAGGAGCAGGCAGGGTGGGCTGTGCCATCC